AGGTGACTCGCATATAGTTTCAGGACTCTGACGCCAGTAACGCCTACTTGCCTCAAGTTCAAGAGCTTTTTGCTTACAGTAGGTAAGAGATACGAACCTACCATCCTTAGAGTATTGTTTCAGTCACGTGGAACAGGAAAACGTGCGCGTGCTGCGTCACCAAATAATACAGCCAGATGAGCGCTGGTTAAACGCCTGCACATGCCACTGAACAGTCTCAGCAGCATTTTTATCCGTTGGTATACGACTCCCGCGCACCGACATCACGTGGCAAACAGGGTATGCGTACCTCCAAAACGACTCATCGAACGAACGAACGAGCGAGCAGGTCGTGAATACAACATCTCCTGCATTTTAACCCCACTGGTAGAAGGCCACGTGCTGCCAGATTGCCTTTTTTGCTTATGACCAACGGCAGAAGAAAATATCAATATTTATGAGCTCAACAGCGCGTCGTACAGCCGCGTAAATTGCCATGCATACCGCTCATGCTTATTTGTCCCAGATTTGTTGACCGCGGCGCGTAGATCTTTTTTCTTTTTATTATGATCAGTGCACCGTAAGACGCATACGGCGCACCTTATCCATTTCCGGAGAAGATTTATTCAGAAATCAGATTATCACATAGCACGGCGTTTCAGTGGTACGACGTACGCCACTCATTTAAAACGTCTCTTACGCCGTGGGGGATCACCATGCCACCAAATGTCATCGCCTACGAGGTCCATGTGGGGCTCTTTAATATTCTAAAAATGTCGGATGCCATGACGTCTGCCACGAGTGTCCTTCGGCATCTCGGGGTCGTATTGGCAACGTATCAAGGTATCCCGTGATCGCAAAAGCTACTCCAATGCTTGCCAAAGTTTCACTTGAGAAATTTGAATGCATTGCTCGAAATGGGACCATTACTCATGCGTCTAACGTCCTGGTCTCCTCTAGCATCTGCGCCAAGTCTTGCACACAATAACAAGAAAAAAGACTTGGCAGCTGCACTGTTGACGACGAATTTCCGTACGTGTTTTGATAGCACGAGTGAAGTGAAAGTGAACGAGGAAAAGTCACTTGTGTGCAATAGGTTGTATTTTGTGCAGTGCGCAGATAATGATTCACATCGACCAAGTAACTGCAACAGGATGGAAATTTGTCTTTGTTCCTTGATAGCAGCAAAATCTTGTTCATTGTGCTATCTTAAGCTGTGGGGTACATATTGGCCGGTTTAGCTTAATTTTTCTGAGGCACAAAGCTGGATCTGAAAACTTGGTAGCATACTTTCTTCTAAGAGGGACGTCCAGATGTAAGACGTTCCGCTAGCTCAGCCAGTTGTACCGCCTGCCATGGCGGTGCTGTGATCCATCTGCCGTGGCGGAGTGGGTTCGAGCCCCTACAGGCGCTCGTTTTTTCTTCCTGCCAGGTATGGCTCGTCACCGGTGAAAGCAGCCGCGCCAAATGTCAGACAGCGCCGGAGGACGTGACTGGCCGTGCCGAACACTGCGGCGGCACGCTGTCCTTTCGCCGCGGCCGCTGGCCCGGCGTCCATCCCCGGATTGTGGGGTCAGAACCCCCGCGGCGAACGCAGCTTAGTGTTGCCGCTGCTTCCAGAAATCCATCCGATGAAAAGGGTAGAGAACCCATTGGCATATGAGACGTTCCACGATAAAACAAAACGTGGTAGGAAGAAAGTGCTCTAAATGAGCAATGCAATTGTCAATCACACATATCCGCCTATGGGTGTTTACTATCCGTCTGTGGGTGTTTACTACGGAACAGCGATGGTGATGCCGACGCCGCTCAAGATGCGTTGCGAGTTTTAATGCCGAGGGCAACCGGTCTTCGATATATCAGCCTGTGCGATTAAACGAAGATGCATGGAACATTCATTGGAATATACTATGCACAACACATAACGCACATTTAAAAGTTTTGTGAATACCGCTGGTTTGACATAGAAAGGCATGCTGGTAGTTTCCTTACGTTTTGAGGATCTTTGCTAAGTTTTCATTGTTTTGATGATGGATCTACGTTCCGCGCATGTCTGAGTGTGTTTTTGAACCGGGGGTAGTTCATGACAGCTAATACCCAGTTTTAAAGTCTCACAAAATATTTTTTATTGCTTGAGTCCAACTCCTTTAAAAGAAGAGGACAGGGACAATATGCCGAAACCTTTTTAACAAATAATTTACTGCCGTGTAAAGTTATTTATTCATTATGGTAGAAACGTGCAAGCACGCACAAAGCAATAAGCTGACAACAGGCGATATAATTTCACTGCGGCATCTGATTTCAAAAATAGATGAAAGCTCGGCCTCGGTCATTGACAGCTGTCCCACGCTCTATGGCTCCCTTCACCTACGCATCATGGACGATACTCCCTTCAACCACCATGTCACCACTGCCGGCAGTGCCGGCGTCAAACTGGCGTCCAGCGCCGGCAGTGGCTAAGGTAGAATATTTGTGTCGCCTCCCTTTCCTCCTTTTCTCTCCCTCTACCAGCCTGATGGCGAATATCGAGAATTCGCGCCCCAACGCTTCTTCCAATCTTCGCGTATCCACCCGCCAACAAGTCTTGAACACCGGACTGGTCAGTGCCTTCAGCGGCTCTTTCTAAGTCTTTTTCTACTCTCTTGCACTATCGATGTGGCGATCCAGGAACTGGCGATCGCCACATCGATCCGTCTTCAGTCCACAGTAATCGCTGGCAAGAGGGCCGGGCGGCCGTGCGGGGGTGGGGCGTGACACAGACGGACGACAAGCGAAGGGCATTTGTCGCGCGCGTCATTACGTGCCGGTCGGATGGCACCGACGCCCAACGACAGAGGCGGGGCGGGGAGGCGCCACTGCCGATCCGTCACTGGCCGAGGCAGCGATGACGCTCGTGTACGGTGGAAGCGCTGGAGTTGAGGACGGGGCCTCTGTCCGTCCGTGGCCTCGACAGGGAGAGGGGATGGTGCTGGAGTTGAGGACGGGGCCCCTGTCCGTCCGTGGCCTCGACAGGGAGAGGGGATGGTGCTGGAGGTGAGGACGGGGCCCCTGTCCGTCCGTGGCCTCGACAGGGAGAGGGGATGGTGCTGGAGGTGAGGACGGGGCCCCTGTCCGTCCGTGGCCTCGACAGGGAGAGGGGATGGTGCTGGAGGTGGGGACGGAGCCCCCTGTCCGTCCGTGGCCTCGACAGGGAGAGGGGATGGTGCTGGAGGTGAGGACGGAGCCCCCTGTCCGTCCACGGCCTCGACAGGGAGAGGGGATGGTGCTGGAGGTGAGGACGGGGCCCCTGCCGTCCGTGGCCTCGACAGGGAGAGGGGATGGTGCTGGAGGTGGACACGGAGCCCCCTGTCCGTCCGTGGCCTCGACAGGGAGATGGGATGGTGCTGGAGGTGGGGACGGAGCCCCCTGTCCGTCCGTGGCCTCGACAGGGAGAGGGGATGGTGCCGGAGGTGGACACGGAGCCCCCTGTCCGTCCGTGGCCTCAACAGGGAGAGGGGATGGTGCTAGAGGTGGGGACGGAGCCCCCTGCCCGTCCACGGCCTCGATAGAGAGATGATAGTCTCAGGACACGTGCGAGCGATGGAAGGGCCCGGTCGCAGGGTAAGGGGTCTCAGGACACGTGCGAGTGACGTAAGGACGTGACCGCAGGGCGATGGTAGAGCGAAGTTAGCTAGATTAGCGTTTGAAAGAGTAAGGCGATTGATGTTCGCGATTCATTTGTACTTCTAGTGTCCGCAACTTCATTAGCTACGTTCTCCGACAGAGTTATGGTGCTGAGAGAAGTCGGCGCCTCCACGACGGGAATAAAATGATGGTCAAGAACTGCGCCTTTCTCCCGCATCGTCACGTGGGCTTTTTCAAGATAGAACTTATCTGGCAACAGTCGAAATGCTATGTTGAAGAATACCCCGATCAGGTGCGAATATTTTGCTTGAGTGTTTTGGCACTTGCTGGAGTGTTTTGGCACTTATCAGACAGTGCAAAACATGCCCCATCTGGTACACGGTAAGACACCGAAGCAAGCCTCGAGCATAGATCGCCAGCAATGAACACAACTTTTGGCCTCAGATTGCGGCAATCCGAGGAAGTTTAAGCACGAAGCGACAGCACATGCCGCCCCGAATATCGTGGTGGGGTAGCAGGCAGTAATAGCAGTAGGGAGACGATGGGCTTTCGGACGAACGTGACGTCGGCTCGGTCTGCGTTTAACAGACGTGGTCATGGCCGGGTGGTCACCCCAGGCCGACCGTGGTCATGCTTTCGGTTCACTGACCACGTGACCTGGCCGAGGTCGCGTTTTCTGGCCGGAGGGTTCCAGACTTCGGGCAGAGAAGACCGAGCACGGCCGGGTGTGTTTTCTGGCCGGAGGGGTCCCAGACTTCGGGCAGATAAGACCGGGCGCGTTGGGCCGTGCTAAGTTGGATATGCTAAGTCGGTCTCATGGGATCAGACTTACAAATGCAGGAGACTGAAGTGGCTGATGTCACCAGGCATTTGTCAATATCTACCGTAGAAGGCTTGGGGTGTTTAAAGACGCGTCAACTGCGTGACCATTACAGCTGATCAAACACCTCAGTGGTGTTCTCGGCATATCTGGGTCTCACCTGAGCCTGTGGCAAGCCACAATAGCAAACACAGTGACAAGGACGAAGGATTGAACGGCTCATACATCCACTAGTGGACCTAGTTATTATCATTGGTAGAGATGTAGCACAATTATATTCTTCTTCCACGACACATATTCAACCCGATGTAAGATTTTAAAAAGTACAACCCTCACAATCATGGATGGATGTGTCCCCTCGCCCCCTCACGCCCCCTCACACGCTTAATTTTGCTTTCCTTCCACCGAGGAGAAATTAAATGGCCATAAAGTAGCCAGTGTACCCGGGCACAAATGCTAGCAATCACCTTCCATTGCCCCTGCCACACATTTCTGAACCCTCCAGAAAAGTTATCTGAACTCGCTGATAAAGTAACCCCTAGTGTCTGTTCCCCTGAGGCCACGGCGACTTGCTTACCGATATGTACACGTCATCGGGGTCGCCCGTGAAGAGGTCGCGGCGAAACCGTAGCATGGTGTGCGACTCATTCCTGCGCGCCGTGTGCAGCTGCCAGTTCTGCTTTTTGTCAACAGATGGCCGGCCGTTCTGAGCCGCCCAGCAGTCCTGCGGAAGAACGCAGCATTAATTTGGAGACACAGACCAAGATAACCGCCGAGGGTTCACTGGATCCTTCGGACCCAAAAACAAGGACAGCATCACAGCTGTCATCGCCAGGGATCGCCAGCCAAGGCTCTGGGACAGGATCCCCGGTGCGGGCCTCTCCTCACGTCAGTGGCGTACCTGGTTCCGACCAGGTGGCGCCGCCTCGCGCACACGGAACATGAGCGAGTGGCTTAAGAACCACTTCAGGGCCCGCGTCTTTAGCCGGAAGACAGTGCACCATCAGCCGTTCACTCAGCGGATCGGACTTTTCTGGGACTCATACTTGTGGGCCACATTAGACTGGACAGATGCATCGGAATACTCCAAGAGCAATCTTACGAGCTAGAAGCACCAGCGCGTGCGAGACGAGACGACCATCCCTAAGACACCGTCCAAGGACACGAGAGAGGTCAAGATGAGGGTGGAGTTAAGCATCGCTGAAACAGAACTCACCTAAATATGTCCCGTCAGCTCAACATGGTTTGAACGTCCCCTGACATCTCATAAAGGCACAACTTCTACGCTTTCCGAAAGATACGACAGTATAAAACAAGACTCATGCTGATGTTATCATGACTTTACGAAAACTGTGAGCCAGTACAAGATCTTTGTGTTGGGAATAGGACCCTCTGGGTATCAACATCATGAGCTCAGCGCCTTAGATGCTTCAACTTCGGTATGGGCTTTTTCATCCGAGCACCACTATTGCCATATACTGTGAGTTGCTGGATCTACACGAATATCATGTGTATCGAATATCCCTGTAATTGACTTGGGAATCTCGGCTTTATTTCGAACCGCGCATGGTTAGCCACGGCGACGCCAAATGGCGACCATTGCCAGCTAAGACAGCGTCGAGGAGTTGTTCCAAAGAATATATTACCAACACGCTAAGGATAAAGCTCTACTTGGAAAGTAGTGCGTTTGATAGGTGCATTCACGAGCGCCGGCTGTGTACAGACTGTTTTATTGTTTGATATCACAATGTGGAGCCAGGCTAAAGCAAAGCACCAAGTTTTGTATCTCCATTAGGGGATATCGTTGGTGTCGATCAATACACCACGTTGCCACACCGTGCTGCAACACCCGTCATGATAGACCGTCTCTGTCACCATGTCGGGTTGCGGTTAGTCCCCCCCCCCCCCTCTCCACCGCCCCAGGCCGGCGCCCTGCAGCCGCCGCTGCCTTCTGGCCGGTCGAAGGAAGCCCGTCCACCGGCCAACGGAAGAGATCATTTCTGCCTGAGAGCAGAACAGCTTCCGGTGGCGCGTGGGCGGCTTCCGTGGCGCCGGGCGCCGGGTAGAGACGCGGGCGTGAGCGGCCGCCTGGTGTCTGTTCATCCTGGTGATTTGGTACGGCCAGGGGCGCTCGTGGACAGGGAGAGGCGTGGAGCACACGGTCGCTCTTTTTCATTTTGTATTATCGTCTACAATAGTGCCGATTCCCAAAAAGGGACGGAAATCTCTATACACTGAATGAACGCTGTTGTTTAGTCAGCTTTTTCAGTAAATGTCATTTTAGCCACTTCCACTGCAACATATGCGTGACCCAGGCCTGTGTTATGGTTTATTTGTACGAGTGACCTTCACATTGGACCGACATTTAAGCGACAGCTGCCACCGATGAGGCAATATGTTTCTCGATTGAGAAAAACAACTCAGATGAAAAACATGGCCTCCGGCACAGCCAATGCAGTCTGTTGAATTTGACACACGTATGCAGCGAATTTAAGAAACGACAGAGTCAGCAGTAGAGCTGGATCCCGCCAATCGTCCAAATAACGTTCTTCAGCATTCTGAATGCTGTTGAAATCCGTCACTATCCAGGCGATAGCGGACACGATGTAAGTGCAGTTATGTGCGCGTGCATTGAATACCGTGAATGACGTTGCGAATTATCGGAGGGGCTATTCTCCATTTCCGTATATACGCAGAGACGGCATTGAATTTAAGGGGAGGGGGCAGCTAACATTTGCAAACGCACTAAGACTTGACCTGCGAGACCCAAGCCTCCAGTCGCCAAGAATAATGTGATCAGTAAAACAGTTTAAGGTTAAGTGCTACCACGTCCGCACCATGCCGCCAAACGCTTCTGCCGTCGAACGATAACGGTCATGTCCCAGCGCCCACCATCAGCTGAACATGCGATGCGTGATGGTGGGATCCGCGAAAGAGTAGGAATACGCTGGTGAAGCTGTTGCGACTCGATTAGATACCCAGTTACTGATGACATACCGACTCCTACGAGTACCAGCGACATTACACTCCAGATCTGGCTTTTCGAGACGCGCTGAATCCACGGCGGTGGCTTCAAGCGTGCGCTATCCGGCGCCTCAATGTCAAGCGGAAGGTCCGACCTTCATCACAGCTGACCCAAGCAAGGCCTAACCTAACCTGGCATGGCCCGACCTGATCTTGACCACACCTGGCCTGACCTGACCTGACCTGACCATGAGGAAGGCCTGGCCTTACCTGGACTTCCGCGCCTGACCTGATCTTCACCGCGACTGACTTGAGGAAGACCCGACCTGACCTGACCTGAAAAAGGCTTGACCTGACCTAACCTTTGCAACCCCTGGCCTGAGCAAGACCTGACCTGACCTGACCTGAGGCCAGGCCCTAGCAAGGGACCTGACCTGACCTTGACCTGACCTAACCTTTGCCACCCCTGGCCTGAGCAAGACCTGACTTGACCTGACCTGAGGCCAGGCCCTAGCAAGGCCTGACCTGACCAACCACGCAGGAACACGTCGGTGACGAACACTCCTCATTATAGCTGATGTCTCCTCACCTGTTGTTTTCTGCATTATTTGTATTTTCCTAGTTGCTTTGTTGAACGTAAGTACGCACAACCATCAAAAGTCTTAACGCAAAGTTTGAAACATCCAAATTCTCTATACGACATGGTCTTATATAGCCATTTGGTCTTTGGTCATGATCTTTACAAGAACATGGTCTTTACATGAACATGGTCTTTACATGTTTTTTACAACAACACCGACCGTTTTCCACCCATCTTCTATATTTTAATGATATAAACAAATCTGTTTGGTCACACCGATCTTAAATCCTCCCTTCTTTCGCCACCCGTGTCTTTCTCGGAGTTAAGGGATAACACGACAAGCGTCTGTCATGCAGTTCGTCAGTGCCCTGGAACTTTTAAAAACGAGCATCATAAATATCTGATATGTTGGGAGATTCACCGTGCTTGACTAACATTAGAATGCGTCTATTCTACGAGGATTGACATCAAACTGCGCTTTCATTGACTATCTGATCAGTTTCTAATAATTCACATGATAAAAGCCGCTGCAACCGGGTGGTTATATTCTTAAGCTCTGTTTTGGGATTGCATGCTGACACCATGCGACAGTGGCGAAGATAAACGGCTTCTGCTTTATTGCAGGCCAAGCGAATGTTGGAGCTCGCTCATGAAATGATTTAGCTCCTGTCGTGCTTGAATGACAAACTGCTGCGGTTCTGAGTGCGGTGCTCGGGTCGGACACAATCAAGTCATTCCGCATTTGCGAGATCGGCTTAAAAACTCCGGTCCTTCCTGGTTGCAGCAGCTCTTCGGAGCTAGGCACGTGGCATTCTGAAAATAAAGTAAGTTCAACACAACACAACCCTACTCTCAAGTTCTCTTTCCCGGAAACTCTCTTGCTGAAACCAGCTTCAAGTTATCAATGGGCGATCCAGTCTCAGTTACCCGTACTTTATCTCAATAGTGGTAGCCACGTCGAATAACCCGCACCCCGCCGGCGATCGGAGACAACCGCCCCCTGCCGAGGGGGAGGGCAAGTTGGCTTTTCCCCTGGGGTCCAAACTCCTAGGCACCGTGTAAGAAAAAAACAAAGATAGCGCTTTGAAGATTTCGTTGGATTATGAAGAATGTGCACCGAATTTTGTTTCACGTTAGGTGTAATGTGAGGTCACCAAAGGTTACGCAAGTTCAAAAGCGGTTGTTCCGACGGATGCAGTTGAAGCCCACGTTAACACGTCAAGGTAGATATCGAAAGCACAGGTTTACGGCGTTACGGCGACTGTGGGAAGCGCATTACAACCATTTATGGCTGCCCACACGGATCAGGTCAGATCAGGTCACCATTTGAAATCGTTTTGCCAGTAGCCTACAAGTGCGATACGTTTCACAATGTCCTTCAGACTGTTTGTTTTATTAGATGCAGCTGTGGGAGGAAAGCATTCCAGACACAAAGATAGCATTCTAGGGTGACTGAGAGGTCGTCTGGGGCCAGCTTAGGTCAAATTCATAAACCATCGTAATGAAAAGCCCTAAAGTGCTTACCGGGTTTATGTGACCAGTACAATGCTTTTCTCTGACCAGAAATAGTGTATTGCACTTCTTCAGGTCCTCAAGATCTCACAGCTGTTGCCTACATTATACATAGTCCCTTCGACGCTTGTCAGCTTGTTCGTAGCCAACTGAGGACAGGTAAACTGGTGCATGAAATGAGGCGTCATCAGGTTCACAAACATGGTAAGCCGTTCATCTAGCCTCTCCGCTACTGGCAACATAAGTCGTTGACCTTCGATGAGCTCATATGACCTTGAATGCCCTTATGCGACCTATTACATCCTCATTATGCGATATAATGATATCATAGCATATTTTTCATCGAAGCTAACAAACGTTACAGCCAAAGTCACCTATTACAACTGCCTATTTTGAGCTCAGCATGTGTTTTGCAGAGGGTACCCACAGGTATACGTCACAACCTGGGCCAAGGTCATGTGCTCTGTGGCCATGTGATGGTTGCGCATGCAGGTCAGAACTCTGTTCCTAATATATAAGCACCAAAGCAGCACAAAAATGCGAAAAAAATGGCATCATTTACGGAAACATATCAACACTTACCTGACTTCAGGTCACTAACCTCGCATTAAAAAAACATAAACATGCAAACTATAGATAATATCATGCTTTATCACTATGCCAATTTT